TTCTCCCACGGGTAAGCTTGGCCACTTGGGCCAAAGTGCAACTCGACACCAGACTTTAAAAGGAAAACAGATACTTTATGCCCAAATTGGCAAATGCCCAATTGGCATCGAAAAAAATAAAATTTAATCCGAGGAGCCAAATTCAGCCCCATTCCATATTGGGCCGGTATCTGAACACAAGTTGGGTTTTAACGGGAAGTATAATTCAAATAAGGAGCCCGACCCATCTCTACGTCAAGTCCGGTTAAATTTGGGCGGTAACCTGCCGGTAGCCCGAGGGAGGAAGGAGGGGAGCATGTCAAGGCAAGTTTTGCCTCTCTTCGATAATCTTCACCGGGGAGTCTTTCTCTGCTTAACTTCAGCAGCATCGTCTTTATCGCATGTACGCCAAGCCCATGCCCACATCCTCAAAGCAGGAATCATAGACCACACTGCATTGTCCTCAAAATTGATCTCTCTCTATGTCAATCACCAATGCTTCCCGGAAGCGCAGCTCATCCTTCACTCAATCCCGGAGCCTTCACTCTTCTCCTTCTCCACCCTCATATATGCACTCACGAGGTCTAATCTTTTGGCTTTATCACTTAGTGTATTCTCTCAGATGCTCTCTTATGGTGTCTTGCCCGATAGTCGTATTATTCCCAGTGTCATCAAGGCTTGTGGCGGGTTATCGGCGTTGGAAGCAGGAAAACAGGTTCACGGCATTGTTTTTACATCTGGGTTGGATTCAGATGATTGCGTTGGAGCATCTTTAGTGAACATGTATGTAAAATGTGATGAAATAAGGGATGCCCACAAAGTGTTTGATAGATTGCCTCAACGTGATGTGGTTTCTTGTAGCGCTTTGCTTTCTGCTTATGCTCGGAAAGGGCGTGTTGATGTGACGATGAAGCTTTTTAATGAAATGAAAGATTTCGGTGTGGAACCCAATATTATAACTTGGAATGGTGTTATTTCGGGGTTCAATCACAGCAGAGATTATATTGAGGCGGTTGTTATGTTCCAGCGAATGCATTCGGAAGGGTATTATCCTGATGATACTACATTTTCCAGTGTACTTTCAGCAGTGGGTGACTTGAAAGAGTTAAAAATAGGGATTCAAGTGCATTGTTGTTTGATCAAACAAGGTCTTGGGCAGGAGAGGTATGTTCGTTCTGCACTAGTGGATATGTATGGAAAATGTGCTTGTACATTGGAGTTGACAAGGGCTTTTGATGAAATTGACGAGAAGGATATAGGTGCTTGCAATGCTGTAATAACTGGTCTGTGTCGAAATGGACTTATTTACAATGCATTGAAGGCATTTGAGCAGTTTAGGGACAAAGGAATGGAATTGAATGTTGTGACCTGGACATCAATTGTTGCTGGTTGCACACAGAATGGAAGAGATATTCAGGCACTCCAGCTTTTCAGAGAGATGCAGAGTGCAGGGCTGAAGCCAAATTCTGTAACAATACCTTGCTTGTTACCAGCATGTGGAAATATTGCAGCATTAATGCATGGGAAGGCAGCCCATTGCTTTGCCCTTAGAACAGGAATTGCTGATGATTTTTTTGTTGGTAGTGCATTAATTGACATGTATGCCAAATGTGGAAGAATCCACATGTCTCGGCTTTGTTTTGATAAGATGCCAACTAAAAACTTGGTCTGTTGGAATGCAATAATGGGAGGATATGCAATGCATGGCAAGACTAAGGAAGCTAAGGAGATTTTTGATTTGATGCAAAGGGCAGGGCATGAGCCTGATCTTATCAGCTTCTGTTGTATGTTATCTGCATGCAGCCAGGGTGGCCTAGTGGAAGAAGGTTGGTCTTTTTTTAATAGTATGACCAAAGAGCATAGAATTGAAGCAAAAATGGAGCATTATGCCTCTATGGTAAACCTTCTTGGTCGTGCTGGAAAGCTGGAAGAGGCATATGCTTTGATCAATCAAATGCCATTTGAACCTGATGCTTGTGTTTGGGGAGCTTTGCTTGGTTCTTGTAGACTTCACAATAATGTCAGTTTAGGTGAGATTGCTGCAGAGAAACTCTTCAAGTTAGAACCAGAAAATCCTGGAAATTACGTTCTTCTTTCCAATATATATGCATCTAAGGCAAGGTGGTCAGAAGTAAATGCAGTGCGGGATATCATGATTAGTAGAGGCTTGAAGAAGAACCCTGGCTGTAGTTGGATTGAGGTCAAGAACAAAGTGCACATGCTTCTTGCAGGAGACAAATCACATGCAGAAATGCCGCAAATACTTGAGAAGTTAAATGAATTGAGCATGGAGATGAAGAAAGCAGGTTACTGTCCTGAGACTGATTTTGTGTTGCAAGATGTGGAGGAGCAGGACAAGGAGCAGATGTTGGGGGAACACAGTGAGAAGCTGGCAGTAGCATTAGGGCTTCTCAACACACCCGCTGGCACACCACTTCAAGTTATTAAGAACCTCAGAATCTGTCGTGATTGCCATGCTTTCATGAAATTTATATCTAGGATTGAAGGAAGAGAAATATTTGTCAGAGATACAAATCGATTCCATCATTTCAAAGATGGAGCCTGTTCTTGTGGGGATTTTTGGTGAATGGTTTCTATGACATTATTTACAGATATTGATTTATTTCATTGTACTATTTTCTTGATGTAACCCAATAGATTTATGTTGTTTTATCCCTTTGACATAAAGTTTTAAGAGTAAAGGTGCAAATAAGGATTTTAAATTTGTATTTTTTTCTATTTAAGGATGTTAACTTTATCAGTTTCTAAATAAGGATATTAACTTTTAATTTTTTTAAATAAGGATGTCAACTTTCAATTTTTTTGTAAATAAAGATGTTAACTTTGTCAGTTTTTAAATAATGATGTTAACTTTCAACATTTTCTATTTAAAAATGTTAACTTTCAATTTTTTCTATTTAAGAATTAATTGAATAGTGATGCTAACGTGGCTAACATATTTTTTTAGGTTAAATATCTAAATTGGTCCCTCAACTTTTTTTTTGAACCAATTCATCCTTGAACTTCAGAAAGTACTAAAAATATCCTTCAACTTCAATTTTCAATTTTGTCTTTCTGTTAGTTAAATGTTGATGTAGCTAATTTTTTCGCTAAGTGATTGACTATTTTACATTTTCAATATTAGGTGGAAAATCATGATCATGTGGATTTTTTAAATTTTAAATAATTTACAAACTACTTTAATTCTTAATTTTACTTTATTCATATTTAAAAATTAAAAAATTAATATATTTTCTCATTTAATTAGTCCCGCCTACCATTTAATAAAATTAAATAAAATTTAATTAATTGTTCCATGAATTAGGAAATAATTTTATTAATTGAAAATTGAAGTTGAAGGATGTTTTTGGTATTTTATGAAGTTCAAGGATGAATTTGTTCAAAAATCAAATTTGAGGGACCAATTCAGGTATTTAACCTAAAAAAATATGTTAGCCACATCACTATCACTATTTAATTAATCCTTAAATAAAAAAAATTGAAAATTGACATCCTTAAATAGAAAAAGTTGAAAGTTGACATCCTTATTTATAAATGGACAAAGTTAATATCTTTATTTAAAAAAATTTGAAAGTTGACATCCTTATTTAAAAACTGACAAAGTTAACATCCTTAAATAGAAAAAAGTGCAAAGTTGAAATTCTTATTTGCACATTTACTCAAAGTTTTAATGATAGAATAATTGAGAATATTTTCTAGAGTGGCTTGCTTCTCTTCTCAGTGCCTCCTCCTTCTACTTGTCTCCC